AACCTATTTTCTATTTGGTTAGTTACAGTTTGCCCTATGTTCTTTTTTAAAGGAACTGTCCTTGCCTTAAGGCAGGAGTAGACAAGCTTGTGCCTTCCAAATATTTTGAACTAGAATTCCCAGTAGCCCCAGCCAGCAAGGGCCAATGGCCAGGGATTATGGAAATAGTGGTCCAAAATGGTGGGGGGACTTCAGCTTGCCTACCCCACCTTAAAAAGTTTTCACTTTGTCCACACTGTACCTTCATACACTGTGCCTGCATATGGCCCTGCCCCCAATAGCAGGCTTAGTGCATCAGCCATGCATTGTGGCCTGCTAAGTACTTGACCACTCCATTTTTCCATAGGAACAGCAACAAAATGATAAATGAAATTTTATTTATTAATTTAAAGCTTTTTTAGACTGTCCCTTACCATGGTCTTGGGACAGTTTAACAATAGGACAAAACAGAATAAAACACAGCATCCTAGTCAAATTCTTAACCAATAAATAATAAATCCCATATTAAAATGTCAAACCTTAAAACATTGGGAAAATAAAAAGGTTTTAGCCTGGCGCCATAAAGAAAGAGAGAGAGAGAGAGAGCGCGAGCGCGCCAGGCAAACCTCTCTGGGGAACGTATTCCACAATCGGGGCGCCACTGGAGAGATTCCTGATATACCACTATAAAGGGCCTCTGGATGCCATTCAGTATGACAAATGATGCGTGTGCAGGCAACATCATGATTTTTTACTTTAGTTCAATGCACAGTTCCACAAACTCTCCAATAATAGCTTCTACCCTTCCTCAACTTTGTCCCCCCCCCCGCCTAATTCTTTACAACTCCATTACATCATCCATGTACAACTGCCCATGCTAGGTGGAGCTGATGGCAGCTGTAAGGACAACATGTGGAGGGCAGACCTGTGGTGGTCCCAGCATATGAAAAAACTGTGAACAAAAAATGGATATTCCATCTAAGATCAACAGCTGCTGAACCATCTTGAATTACACATGTTTCATCAGGCATAGCAGTGATATTGTTAAACATGCTTAGCTGGATCCAGATTTACTTAGAGTAAGTTCTTTGAGCAGACCAAGGATGTTAACCTTTTTAAAGCCCAGGTGTCAAATTCCATTTCGGAGAAGCTCAAGAGCAGGTATCCCAGTAGGAGGCTAAGGGTAAAGGCAAAAGGGGTAGGGCCGAAAGGAACAGCATATTTTAGTTTAAACTTCTTAGTGCCAATAACTAAGCCTTCAAACAAGCATTTCAGTCCTTTAGAATGGGGAAAAAACTGAATCAGACAAACAACAAAAGATTGGAGGTTGGGGAAAAGACTGTGGCCTTCTAGACAGGACCAGATGAGGACTCCGGGTGGGCAAGGTTTGGGCCCTAAAACTAAGGTTCTGTACCCCTGAAGCAGACCTACTGAAAACAATGGAAACAGTGGCACTTAATCATGATTAGTCATTGGTTTCAATAGGATTCTATTGTATAACTAAACTGGATCCAACCCGATATAAATTACATTTTTGTTTTTTCTCCAATATTTGGGAACCAGATTACATTTACACTATTTAAAATAGCTGAGTATAATTTCTGCAAGTGCCTCTTCTTTTTGCAAAAGTGATTTTAATTCTCCTGTAGTAGTTTAATCAAACAAAATCATCTGGTAAACTTCAAAATAAGATATCCTGATATTTATAAATGTGGCGCTTAAAATACTAAGTTTTAAGTGTCAGTTAGACCTTCTGATCTGAACTTAGAATGCTTTTCGTATGGGTAAAGCACTTCCAGGACTAGGATAAGGATTCTTATTTTTTTCAGTTTTAATAAATGTTTAATTACGTCAGTTTTAAATATTAGCATCTTAAATTGAGATTCACTGTTAGTGAAGCAAATAGCTTCATAATGTTAAAAAACTATATTAAACTCTATGAAAGATACACATATCACAGTCCTGTGTAGATGTCCTGAATCTACAAATAAGAGTTTATATTAGGTGATATAGAAATGTGAAATAAATGTGTTTTTATCTTGTGTTTCAGAGGTGCTGTGGCATGACTGGGTGGCATAGAAATGTTTTAAATAAATAAATAAATAAATAAATAAATAAATAAATGTAGTCATTTTTAGAACCTCAACTATAAAACATATTTTAAAATGCTAGATTGCATCCTCAAAGTTGTTGCTACTTCAAACCCTGCTGAAATAAATTTTAAAGTTAGTTGTGATTTTATTTAAATCCCACTGATTTCAAAGTAGCCTAAGTGCACAATCCTAAGGCTGTTCAGATAGCCACAGCAAACTTTGCAGTTCCTGCTCTAACCTCAGAAAACTGCTCTGAGATCACAGCTGGGACTTTGAATTTGGAGCATTCTCCCTAAACTCCTCAGAGGTCACAAGATCAACCTTGCAGCCAGCACAGGGTCAGGTCGTGGGGAGGACGTAGAGAAGGGAGGAATAAGATACCACCATCTTTCTAGCTCCACTCCTTGAAAGCCAGTATAAAATGCTTAAATGGACAAGAGTTTTGGAAAGCAGGAGGCTGCCATGGCAATTCTCACTTACACCCTCCTCCCAGGCTCCATTGGATGCCCATGATCCTTTAAGATTATGCCCAGAGTACAACTTACTTAAGAGAGCAATCCTATGCATGTTTAGACAAAAATAAAATATGGTTGGCTCGGATGTGTTTAGCTAGAAATAAGTCTTATATGCACAGAAGTGTAACCTTAGTCTAGAACTAACCCCCTAATTTTAAGGTCTAACCTACTGATTAAAAAGCGTATTCTTTTTCTCTCCCAACCACCCTGCTGAGAACACTTTAATAAAAACTTGTTTTGAAAAGATGTGTGTTACTAGCATTTAATAGAAACCTTAGTGCCTTACAAACTTCCACAGGCTTGCTAATATTACAAGCAAAAGAAGAAAGACAAATCAGTCCATCTTTTGTTTCTATCATCTTTAATTATAAATCTGAGTGGCTACTTCACATTCTTATGCCTCTGCTCCTATGACTGAACACAAACTGATAAGAGCTCCTCCTGGAGAGGCTAGAAATGAAATCATATATTAAAATACCCTCTGTAATTTTAAATTGCATTGTACTATATTAAATTCTACAATCACAATAGGATGTTGGGTTTCTTCACAGGAAGTAAAAAGAAGAATTCATCAGGCATATGGAATCACTTGAGTACTACTGACCATCTGAGCACAAGCCACAGGAAAGGTATCCCAGGCAATCCCATTAAGAAGAATGCACAATTACAGCTAGGCTTTTCTATCATTTTCTAGATACAGAAATGTTATTTATTTATGCGGCAATCCTATACCTACTTATCTGAAATTAAGCCTATTGAGCTCAATGGACTTACATCTGAGTAGAGATGTATAGAATTTCACTGTTGATACTTTTTTTGAATGAAAGAGCATTCATCCATACTCCCATCTGCAGTCTGCATTAGTACAATCCAGATACCGGTATACATCCGCAGCTGCTATGTGAGAGCACCAGGCCTCACCTGCATGAACAGTCTTAAGATTTATCAAGAAGTAATCAAACACATATTAGCTTTTTCCATATTAATCAATTTTTTTGCCCTTGAGTACAAATCACATTGCTATTAACTATTAGAAAAGATACTGTAACTTTCTCAAATTAGAGAGCATGGTTCAATTTATGTAAAATTGATTTAACAGCATAACCTTATGATCCAAAAGCATGGGTCCTCAAACTACGGCCCGGGGGCCAGATCCGGCCTGCCATGTCCATTTGGACCTGCCGCGTGCGCACCCGCACCCACACGTGCACCACCCACCTCGCCCCGCACTCAGGGAGGCAGCGGTTTGCTCGATCAGAGGAAACAACCTCCAAGCGAGCAAGCCGCTGCCTCGTGTGCCCGCCTCACGGTGCGTGCCCACCCCCACCTCACCTCGCCTCCTCTTGCCGCATGCCTCGCCTCCCCCTACCCCTCCCGGGCCTAAGTGCACCGCCAGCACTCCCTTTCCAGTCAGAGCCCAGCACCAGCACCTTTCAACTGGCCCGCTGGTGAAAAAGTTTGAGGATTCCTGTCCCAAAGTAACTCCTGTGTTTAGTGACACTTGTTTCCAGATGCAAGCCACATATGGATTGCAACATAACAGAACAATCCTATGCATTTACTGGGAAGTAAATCCCATTATATTAAACCATCTTTACTTCCTAGCAAGTGTGCTTTAAAACTGCAGTCTGAGGATACTTGGATGTAAGCCCTATTGGGTATAATGACATTTATGTCCAGGTTAATGTATAGGATAACAGTCTGACTACTAATATCTAAATATAAATAAATCATTTCTACAGTGAAGGTATATTTTCATAATCTTTAACCACCAAGTATTTAACTGCAATTGTGCGCTATAAATGCATATTAAAGAAAATCCTAATCATGTAACTTGATCAGCAATGTTTTCTCTCCCAATATAATATTTCCTTTCTGGGAAAAATCAAATTAAAAATACATTATGTATCTGAAAACATTTCTATCTTTGAAATTTAATAATAGCAGAGAAACAAATACTGTTCCTTTGCTGCTTAAGGTAGGGACTCCCAAAAGTGGATGCATCACTTCCCTAATCTAAAGAGCCTAAATTAAACTTTATCATGTTTAGGTTTAAATTTAAATTTTAAATTACATTCTCACCTCCCCCCACACTCTTCCGAACAGCACAGCCTAGAGATGGAAAGAGTTATCACTGAGTGGTGAATTACAGCCCCTCACCTCCTGTTCAGTCTTTCACTACTTGAAATAGCCTGCAAACAGGCAAAAATAGTCACATGTTAGGAGTTCCCTTAGTGCATTGTATGGATACGTAAAATAAATGTACCAGCTGACTTTCATATGAAGACATATGTCTTACCTGATTGTTTTCTTGGACCATCTTTAGGCTATCTAAAAAGGCAGGAAGTTCAAAGTACCAAACTGCTCTTACTTCCACAGAAAGACAAAGGAAAGCTTATAAAACATTATTTACCTGCATTCTGGAGGGTCTCAATATTTTGTGGCCTAGTAGCAAGTTCTGCCACAGTCTGGACGAACTGTGTTCGGGCTCTTTGATACTGTTCAAATACTGCAAATAAGAAAGAAGACAGGATCAGAGGATTTCAGTGATGTTTTCCCACCAGAAACCTTCACACTTTAGTAGACCACCTAAGGAGCATTCATAAGAAATGTCAAGTACCCATGCTTTTACAAAAAGCAAAAGTGGCTGTGTTGTGCATAAGTAAAACTCTAAAATCCACAGACTAATCACAAGATCACAAGTGCTTGCTTTCAAGATCTCCAGGTTTTTTAAGCAGAAAAGATGTTATCAAAAGAAGGAAAAAATGAAGAGGGGAAAAAAGTGTCAGACTTTAAGATGGATACAAGGTGCCTCAAGAATTGGGCAATATATGAATGAATGAATGAATGAATGAATGTTACTCCTACTGATTTCAATGGGTCTCTTAAATATGTCTAAGTCTGGACCAACCCCACAAGACTCTTTGGCTGCAATCCTCTGCATATTTGTCTAATTCCCACTGAACATAGACATGTACACGATTGCAGCTTGCACTCTTTTATTTATATGAAACCAAGCAGTGTAATACCTCCAATACACAAAAGCCAACCTTAAAGGTACCTTGTAAGACCTGCCTCTGGCTCATAGTTCTTGCTGATCACAGGGTTCTGAAAGTCTCGGGAACCACAGTGACTTCGGCTGGGGCTGCACCCTGATCTCCCTGCAAGTCTGGGGACGAGGTCTTTCCCTTGCCTTGACGTCCTTTCACTCAATAGATCTGCCCGGCGCCGCCAATCTAAAGTGCTATCGGGAATCTGCAGCTAGGGCCCTTCTGCCGTTCCCCGAGGCCTTTTCAGTTTGGGCTGCGGTGTGTATCCTTCTCCTAGGTAACCAAACGGAAGCAGGCGCCATAAAGGGGCGGGAGAGAGGCCGCAGCCTGCGCCTCATTGTGACATCAGACGGGCATGCACCAGTCCCGCTAGCCGGCTGCGCCTTGAGGGAGGCTATCGCCGGCCTAGAAGGACGAGCCCAGGGGGACCTTGCGAACAGCTGCAAGCGGCGCAGCCCAAGCAGGTTCCGCTGCAGTGTCTTCATCGCATTTTTCCTTCGCTCTGGGCCTTAATCTTTCTGCGCCTAGCCCGGCTAGAAGGCACAGGGCGCTGGGTTTACGACTTGGATTTTTTTCGTCCCTTTCTAGCTTCTCGGCGTAATTCAAAGGGAGTACTTGGATTTAAGGCGGCGTGCGTGGTTGCTGCGTTGCTATTTAACCGGAAAAAGGAAACATCGACCCAGTGAAACAATCGAATCACTTCAGAGTAAGCACGTTTAGGATCGGGAAGGGATATGAGCCCTGCCATGGAACCAAGAGGGGGAGTAGCGCTTCATCGCTCCGTTGAGAGTGTGTGTACGGGAGAGAAAGAGAGGATGCAATGATGCAGCAAAATCCTAAGGGCGCAATAATGAGAATGTTAAAGGAGAGATAAGTGGCTGACTCGTCTATACTAGGAGTGTCAACGCTTATGCTTAAACACGCATAGGGTTGCGCTCTAAGCCTCTCGGACGTCCCACCGAGCTCAAGAAGATTCTATTGGCCAGTAGGTGCCTTTAGGATTATACCCTTCAGTTACAAAGGAACTAGCGCATTAAATGTTGATTGAACGCGAAACAATTCTAGAAAATATTGAAATTCAGCGATTTACACAATCTCAAACACTTTATTCACTACTGGATAGTACTATTTAACCAAAGCACATTCACTAATCTTTAATTCAGTATCGACAGAACATACTTACCTGGATGTAAGTTCACACTTTAGCTCAGGGAAGTTACTTTTAAGGAGACTTGCATAGGATTGCTCTACATTGTCATTTTTAAACCCATGGAAGCTCAAGTACCCTTACCTATACTCAGGTTTAACTGAGCTTGACACGATCCACAGAGCAGGTAACCTGGATCACTTTGGCCTTGCGTGGTCAGGGGATCTGATTACAATTTCCAATTTCAAGAAAAATAAACCCAATTATGTTAACACTTGTGGGTTTTTTCTTCCTCTCCCCCCTCCCCACCTTGGGCAAGTTTGAGCTGCTCCAGTGTGCCCAGTGAATTAAATTCATGTGTCCATTCTTCAGCTCTGTGCAGTCCTTGGTGAGATTACAGTATGGATTCAGTTACAGATATGCACTGCTGCTTTGGGCTGCATCTGTAAGGTAAAGTAAATCTTGCACCAGGCCAATGCAATAGTATTGAAGATAGTTTCTTTACAACCCAGAGGGTTCCTAAAACTTTGCTGAGTAAATTCTTTCAAATTTCTCCCTCCTCAACTTTTTTTAAACTACTGATGTTGTATTCCTTGCAAGAACTGAACCACACAACTCTGAGTTTACTTTTAAAAAAAACCTTTCCATATATGATAAAAGCGCTAGCCTAGTATCTCCAACCTTGCATCCAGGTGGCATCATGACCACTTCACGTACAACAAAATTCCTCATGTTGGAGGAACCTGTGGATATAGTGCCACAACTAATCATTGTACAGCAGATTATATGTGATTTCTTGCACCCAGGAAAAAGTCTTAAGAATTTACCTGTGGAAAGGTGACCTGTGTTTTTTTCCTTTTGAGTAGTTGTCATGTGGCTAGTCATGCAAGAATTTAAAACATAAGTTAGCAGTACTAACTTTTGCACTTTGTTGGACACTTCTAGGAAAGAAGTCAAAGTGAAGCACTGGCTTGTAACCTGTGCATATCAGGTTTCTAAAATCCAAATGTTTCACTTCAAGCCTATGCCCTAAGAACTGAGAGCATTTTGAGTTCAGGCACACCTCATTCAGGATTAAATTCCTGTGACTGTGAATAAACCCTTCCTAAATTCAACATTTCCAGCAGCTGTTCTGTGAAAGGGTGGACATAGCTTCTCCCACTCAAAATCTTTCATCTTCATCTTTCAAAAGTCGGCTCCTTAAAATAATTGGTCTATCGATACTGAATGGCAGCAGCTGTCCAAGGTTTCCAAAATGGCCTTTCCTAACCCTGAACATGCCAACCTGAGACCTTTTAAATGCAGACCTGATGTTCTCTCACCATACAAAGACCTCAGATTTCATATAAGAACCAAAGCTGAAAGGATATTTAACAATACTATGCACAATTCATAAACTGAGGAGTATAACTTTTTTTTAATACTTAGGTTGAGCAAGCCAGAGGTGTAGAAAACTATCTAATCGAGGCTATCTCCCTTCCTGATGCAAGTATACTAGATGTCCTCTTAAAATTTCACAGGTATCCGATTTAGCCGAAATTACACCGTCATGTAGAACAGTATTCTCCCTCCACCCCATGATAAAGAAGAGCCTCTACACTCCCACCTGATATTCAGGTGTTCCTCGTGGAGTGCCGCTGTGGCGCTTTTTGTTCGGAGCATTCTGCCCCATCCGCGGGGGCAAAAAGCTTGGCTTTGCCAATTAAAAAGAAGAAACGTGCATTTTCTGCCACCCGACACCTGCACTGTGCCAAGGAAAGCCACCTTCTGGGGCCAAGTTTAGTTACAGTGGGAAGCAAAGTTAGAAGGAGATAAACAGCTAAGCACATGCATGCACTGAGCTTTGCAATTCTCTATACGCGTAGATAGAAATTAGTCCCATACAATGCAGCGGAAATTACTTCTGAATAAACATGTATAGGCTTCTGCAGGCAGCACTGCAACCGGATCCAGAGGCACTCACAGTCCTGCTTCCTTGTAAAATTTTTCCTGCTTTTAAGACTAAGACTGAAGTAGAAACACATCTCATTTCCAGTCAAGCCTTAGCACTGACTGAAGCAGTACCACTTCGAAGCAAGTTTATAAAATCACCTCCACCAGCCGAGGCAGTAAGTCCGGGAAAAGAGAAAGCAGATCACTACCCACACAGATTTTGAAAGCGAGATCGGGGTCTCTCCGTTCTCGCGAAGAGGTTTCCCGACCAGCCAGGGCTTTTGGCACAGGGAAAAGCCCGGCGTTTGGGGGTAAGTGGCGGAAGAGGCCGCGGAGCTCCGCCAAGCCCTGAGGGGGCGGCGTGGTCAGGTCGCTGGCTAGTGTCGGTGATTGACTTCTTCCTGGCAGAGACTTGCCAGCCCAGCCCGGCTCAGCGCCCGGCTCAACCAGGCAGGCCCCTGGCGGCGAAGGGGAGCAGGCGAGAGACAAAACCTGCACACCAGTATTGATTCCCTGGAAAGGAAGGAAGCAAAAAAAGGGCCCCAAGCCGAGCCAACCGTCCATCGCCGACCTTTTGCAGCCCGATCCTATGTACGTTTACTCAGAAGTAAATCCTGCTGAAGGCAGTAAGATTTACTCCGGGGTAAGTGTTGCACTGGATGTCACCTCTCGCACTCAGTGCCGATCCTTTAATCCATTTGTCCAAATATTCCTCTTTCTACCGCTTAAAAAGAAAGAGAGCGATTCTGGACTGAAGCTACAGAAAAATCCCTGGAAAAATTGCACCCCGCTTCAACCTCAAGGAAAGAGTATAGACCGTGTATACATACACGGTAGAAAGAATCCCCAGTTGCTTGCGACAGCCAATGCACATGCGCAGCTCCCGAAGCGTCTTTCGATTTTAAAATTGGCCTTCGCTTCGCTCAGGACGTGACGCGTCACCCAGCGAGGCTCGTCCCGAGCGCTTGTGAGCACGGACGTGTTTCTGCAGTGCGTCCAATGGTGGTTGCCTTTCTTCTCGCAACAGAGCACAATCCAGACTGAAAGGTGTACTGCAATGTTCTCAAAAATACTTGCTCTGCTTCCCCCCATCCTTTAGGACGTTAGTACGAAGGAAGGTTTCCATGAGTACTGACCTACCTACAAAACGATGATAGGAAAGCGGTTCTTCTGTATTAAAAGATAACGTTTCGGCAGACCACAGACTACTTTAATCCTATTAAACTGGAAGCAGTTAGGAATTAAAAACAGCGATCCGATGCACTCTTGCGTCCTAGTAATAGTCATGGGCGGTAAGCAGGCATCGCTTATTAGCCTGCTGGAGTTCTCAGTGATGGTGCTATTCCCAAATAGCTCCTCTTGGGGTGGATGTCCGAGCAAATAGCTTCAAGAGGATTGTGACAGCTTCATTCACAAATCAGTTAAGCGGAACTGCTTGACTATCTCAGCAGATACATACCTGACCCAATTATCTGGGTCTGATTTGCAGTAATCTATTAGACTCATTTCTAAGTGTATGAGAGTTAGACTGAGGTAGCCCTCAACTTAAATCCAATTACTTGTCAGCTATATTGAGAAAAAGGCAAATATTGACTATGTTCTCTAATTGTGTATTATTGTTGTTGTTGTTATTACCACCCTAGTACTACTAGGCCAATTAAAAATATGTGCAAGCATTGCTTCTGAGATAATGCATAGTGCATAAGTGAAAGATAGAAAGCTTGGACTTCATGCTTGCATGTAGTTGGGAATCAACATTGTAGATTTTAGTGAGAATTTTGCAAATAAGTGTAGGTAGGATCGTTGTGCTGGAAGCAAAAAAAAGTGTAAGATATAATACATTTTGACAACCTATTTTATTTCATATTTCCATTGAAGATAACTTCCACACTCTTTCTCACTCCTCCCCTGCATTCCTTAATGTAATAGATGGAAGAAAAATTATTAGAATTACTAGGACATTCCCTCAAATATAGGTAAGCTCTTTTAATGCTGCAATTTTATGAATATCTGCTTTGAACTTAAGTTCCACTGTGTTCAAAGAAATCTGCTGCCAGGTTACTTTGCAGTT